ACAGGTTTGCCAAATGTCCAGTTAAAATATAGTATTTAATGGTTAAACCGATGGATCGTAGTGAACAAAATCCTTAGATAAAAGAGACCAGAGATATAACATACACCGGTTTTAAACCTGCGCAAATGTTGCCAATTTCTAAAGAAGGGTTAACGGAGTGGGGGAACTGGGCGGCGACACGCGGCGACCCGAACTCTGTGACAGGGACCGGACTTTGTTTATTAGCAACTTAATGAACTATTAGGTTTATTTAAAAGGTGTTTAATCGAATTTTGTATTATGAAATCAAATTATCGTGATTTTTTAATATCAAACAGATGCCACGACATTTTATGTAAAGAGAAGACCTTTTATAGAATATTTCGTTAGCGTTTATTTACTACGGACTTTTCTGCAAGAGATTACAGTAAAATGTTGAAATAGAATATATTGTTAATAGAGCAAAAAATGTTACTCATTGTCTACGAGTATTATAAAAATAGCATGTGCGCAGGCTAATACTGCAAATCTACCCTTATGAGTTGAACATTATATTTTTTCTACTGCTATTACATATTATTAAAAATTAGTCAAAATGAGAAAATGCTGTTTTGTATTGTAACCTCAGAGAAAGTATATTAAGGCTTCTTTCTTTAAGAATATTATTTATTATAAAGGATGAGTCACATAAAACTTTAGAAATGCATATGTCTGAAACCAGATAACATTTTAAAATTTAAATCTATTAAAAGTCATTTGGTCGCTAGGGATGAGTGATTATCGAAATAAATTATCGATAATCGAAAATAATCGATTATTTTCAAACAATATATTTTTTGTCATTTCCTTTAAAATCAACTACTTGATTATCTTTGAAAAATCAAAAATAATCGATTAACTAAAAAGCCAATTAACCGATAAATCAGTGTTTACAAAATATAATATAAATAGAATTATCGTTTATTTTAAATAATCGATTATTTTCAAATAAACCATTTTTTTTCGTCCATGGAAACAGATTATTCGATAATCTTTGAAAAATCGAAAATAATCGATTAATCAAAAATAATCAATTAATTAAAAAGTCGATTAACTGATAAATCGATTTAAAAAAAAAACAGAATGATCGATTATTTTAAATAATTGATTATTTTCGGTCAATCGATTATTATCAATAATCTATTTTTATTGTATTTCCTTTAAAATCGTTAATTCGATTATCTTTGAAATACCGAAAATAATCGATAATTCCAAAATAATCGCCTAATCGAAAATAATCAATTAATTAAGAAGCCGATTCTATGATAAATCGATTATTACCAATAATCTATTTTATTGTATTTCAAAAATATTCGATTAATTAAAAAGTCGATTAACTGACAAATTGATTTTCAAAAAAAACAATGATCGATTATTTTAAATAATCGATTATTTTCGATCAATCGATTATTATCAATAATCTATTTTTATTGTATTTCCTTTAAAATCGATAATTCGGTTATCTTTGAAATACCAAAAATAATCAATAATTCCAAAATAATCGCCTAATCGAAAATAACCAATTAATTAAGAAGCCGATTCTCATATTTCCTTTGAAATTGATTATTCGATTATCGAAAATAATTGATTATTAAAAAGCTGATTATCCAATAAATCGATAATTTTAAAAAAATAACCAAAATATCGATTATGTAAAATAACCGATTATATTCAATCGATTATTTTCATATAATATCTTTGAAAAATCGAAAATAATCAAATAATTAAAAAACCGATTAAACGATAAATCGATAATTTTGAATAAATGTACTTTTTCTGTATTTCCTTTAAAATCGATTAATACATTATCTTAAAAAAAAACGAAAATAATTTATTAAAAACAGCGGATAAATCGATTTTCATTAAAAAATAACAGAATTATCGATAAATCGATTATTTTTGTAACCCCTATCGGTCGCTTGCTTTTATCTGAGCATTTAGTTCCAAAATTTAGAGATTCGGATTTTTTGATCCAGTTATCTTTGAAATCGCATTCGCTTGTATAATAAATAAATATTGCTAAATTTTGGTTTTTTTTTTTTAGTAAACGAAAATTATGTTCGAGTTGTTTAGGGGTTTGTAATGTAACATTTTATTAACGTGACTAAGGGTTGATTCCACCGTTGTGTTAAACGAAGTTTAAAATGACATTTTTACAATAACACTGTCATTTTAATCTCCGTTTAACACAACGGTGGAATCGGACCTAACTCCTGTAACTTTAGTATTTTTTTTATTTATACTAGATTACTTTGTTTTAAGACTGAAAATTCAATGTCACTTTCGATTTGACCGCAAATAAGATGAACCTTGAAATTTTAAGTAGGTCATCCTGTATTTCATCTAATATTCTTATAAAAATACCTTATAAAAATAAAATTTAGCTAGCAACTATGATTCTTTACCTCTTATTTATCTACCAAAAAGGGCTAAAAACTACCTTTAGAAAACATTCTTATAAAACTACTATTTAAATACAAAATTTCGTTAGCAATAATGCCTATTTACTATTTATTTAAATTAAATGTTCAAAATTTTACCCTTTTGTAAATTTATGTAAGTAATATGAAATCTGATGCTTAATATTTATTGAAACCCCTTAATGCGGATCTGAAGTATTCAGCCCAGAGAATCATGGCGCTTTATGTCAAAACGTTAATAAATATTTACCGCTGAAAACGAATATATTCATAACAGTAGTACTTGTATTATAAGTACATACAATTTTTCAAAATACATCGTGACATTTTGAACTTGAAATTGAATAACTAGAACACTTTAAATTGCTAAAATACCAACAAATAAATCAAAAAACAGCTGTCAATGGTGATTAAACTCAGGTGGGGGTGTGATCGCTGAATGGAAATCGGAGCAATTCGGGTGGCGTCGTGCAAAAATGATTTTCAATTGGTGGGTTACTTTGGCTTAAAATAGACAGCATGCGCAGTGTGCAATGTTACATCTTCGGTCTCTTTAATCTAAGACAAAATCTAAAAACATCTAATTTAAACACCAATTCAATGCAGAAGAAAATTAAATGAGAAATTTTATGAATATGATCCAGATTTCTAAATGAACTGTTAAATATTAAGCTCCATATTAAGTATTTCGAACCTTGAAACATTGGGAACTAATAATTATTATCCTTATACGTTTAACCGAAAGTGACACTGTGGCAACCTCTGCTGGTACCACCGTTTGTTGTGCATGCGATTGTGGACCTTATTATCATACGACAATTGTTTATGTAAACAAGGCGTATCTATTCCAATACATTATCGAATGTTTGAGCGTTGAGGTTGAAAGTTGAAATAAATAACAGTTGACAGTTGTGTTTTGTGTGTTGTTGGTAGATTAAAATTTTTATTTTGCGATTTTAAATTAAATAAAGTTTATTTTATTTTTCGGCATAATACCTATATAGTTAGCTTATAATGGAAAACAGGTTAGTTCCTATATTAAATTAAAAATATTTAAATTTTAAAATAAATATTTTGTTTATAGCATAGCGGCTGTATTTGCTCAAAGGACGCTCCGGTCGTCGAGAACTTTTTTGGAAGAATCCTCTGACTCCAGCGAATCCAGCGATTCAGATTTAGAGTTCATAACACAAGGGGAAGCAGTACATATTAAGAATTATGTTGCAAATATTGTAAATGCATATTCAGACATGGATTTTAAAAGCCATTTCAGACTCGATAGATCCACTGTAGAGGTAATTTATTACAAATTTTTATGAAAGAAGTCAGGTTTTTAATTATATATTTACATTTTAGGTTATTTTACAAGAAGTTGGTCCTCATTATAGGAGTACAGAACGAGTTTTGAGACGAAATCCTACTCCATTAAAAACTGCACTCCTTTTTTCAATATGGATAATTTCAAATATTGAAAGTTTTCGGGGTGTTTCAGACCGCTTTGGCTTCAGAAGAAGTCATGGACATGCCCTTTTATATATATATATATATATATATATATATATATATATATATATATATATCTAAAATATTTTATGAAAAACTAAAAAATAAATACATTAAATGGCCAAGAAATTCTCAAATAAATAGGAAAGTTGAAGAATTTAATAATTTAAGGCCTAATGCTTTCCCAGGAGTTGTGGGTTGTATTGATTGTACCCACATAGAAATACCTGGTCCAAGAAAAGATAATTCTTATTACAATAGAAAGGGGTACAATTCGATTTTATTGCAAGGTGTTTGCGATGCAAATAAAACGTTTTTAGATGTGTATTGTGGGTGGCCTGGTTAAGCAAATGATGCTAGAGTCTGGACAAACTCTCCATTATATTCAGTATTAAATAGAGAACCATGTCCGTTACCAGAAGGCACACATTTATTAGGAGACTCTGCATATCCACTAGATATGTTTCTGATGAGCCCTTATAGGGATAATGGACATTTGTCAATGGAACAAAAAACATTCAACCGAAAGCTAAGCAGTTCCAGGGTCATTATAGAACAGGCATTTGGACTTTTAAAAGGGAAGTGGAGAAGAATGCAACTTCTGGAAATTAAAAATTTAAAATATGCCAAATATTATGTGATGTTTGCTTGTATATTACACAATATTTGCATAGAATACAGTGACTTTATTGATTGTGAAACAGTGGTAGATAATGAAGAAAATGAAATCGAACATGAAGAAACCATTGTAAACAGAAGACAAAATTTAGCTGTAGCCCAACAAAAAAGGGATTTAATTATGAGTTCTTTTGAATAAAAAATATATACATTTTTTAAGTATTTTATTAAAAAAACCAAACAAACAATATGTACTAAATAAAATATTCAGCACTTAAATATGTAACAAAATAAAAATGCTTCTATAAAAATAACAAACTATTCAATAAATAATGTATTATCACAATAATCAGTAACAAAAAAAAAAAATGGAACATTTCTTACATAAAAACTAACTATCAAGTAAAAAACTTTTTAAATGAATAAAAAAAAAATCACAGAACGGAAAATATTAAAGTCAACAGTTAAATTTCTATATACTTAATACAAATATATATTTCTATTAGGGAGAGTAATTTTATTGGAATACAAAAAGCAGAAATATTACATTGCACTCTAATAGAAATATATTTGCATTAAGATATATTCAAAAGTAGCCTCCTCGTAGACTATGCCACAGGCAGCAGATGCTAAACATACTAATTTTGTTTTGAAGCTGCTATAGCGGCTGATAATTTTAAAATAGCATCTATTTCTTGTTTTTTTAATTCTTTTTCCTCTTTAAATTTTTTTTGCTTAAATGCTTCTTTTCTTTCATCATTTTTTTCAGCCGTTTTATTTTTTAAAAACAAATATCTGCCCATTGACAATACTTCCAATTTTCTTTTTCGGGGTTCTCCTTCTTGTTGGCTGCTACTGCCTGCTTCATTTATTTCGTTACCTGCTTCATGGCTTGTGTCATCAACTACTTCTATAGTTGACCCTAAATTAATTTGGGGGGGGTACGAAGAATCTTTTTTCCCTAAAACGCTATCAAATAACTCAAAATGCTCCCACCTAATTGCTCCTTTACCAGTAGTATTTTGTTTTTTTTTTTATTAATTTTATATGTATGCAATAAATTCATATATTTATTGTCACACATTAAATCAGAAACTTTATAATTAAACTTATTTAAGTCCATTACAATTTTGTTCAACAATTTTTTTTTTTGAACATTTTGGTTGTATGAAATCTTTTTCCATGGATAATCTTTTATCCAATAATAATTTTACTGAAGCTTCAGACCAATAAAATTTGTCATTTTCTTTATCCTCATTCACATCATTCCTATTCATATGTTCCTTATTATATACTAATTCTGCATAATTTTGTAAAGTGGTTGGATCTGAAAAAATTTTTATTAAAACAAAATGTATTTTTCAAAAGTCTGAATGTAAAATAAGAATTTGGCATTCAATCACTTTTCATAAATACTATAAAATATATTAATATTTGGCTATTATAATTCGTACCTTTTCTTAAAACATCATAAAAACATTGATTAACGAATGTTGTAAATTCGTTACCTTCATAGGTTAATTGTATTTCAATCATATTTTCTTCCATTTTTGAATCCTTAATTCATTTACAAAAAAATCCTAATTTTCAATATTTTTTTAAATAAAAGACTACTGGCTTTAATTTCTATTTCTTATGGGTAAACTGTAAACTCTTGAAACACAAAATAAATACAAAGCACGAATTCCGTCAAACCAGCTGTCAGTTGTCACATCTAATCGTAAAAACCTCCGAGCAATTACTACTAGAGGGAGTCTTCCCCCCTTCCCCGCGCTAAATTTTGTTAGCAACATCTACTCCCCCCGAGGGGGAAAATACCTCTTCTGTAATTGGCTTATTTAATCAGCGTTGCCAAGTTTGACAGCGCCAGAAGTTTTCTGTGAGCGCCAGTTCTGACACTTTCTGACACATGTCAATTTCTTATTTGTATTTTACGGAAAATTTTATTATTTATAACGTTGTAAATGTTGTAAATGTATATTTAAGATTTATTATCTCTAATAATATGGTGAAAACATGCTTTATGTGTAAAAGGCCTGTTGAAAATGCTTCTTCAAGATAATATCATAAGTAAGTACAGACACAACCTAATTATCAGAGGCGGTGCATTAGGCAATCACCTTTAATTTGCAATTAAACTTTTTTATTTTCTTATCGAAAAATTAAAATTAAGAGCAAGTACACTCCAGCTACGTTCGTCTTCATCCGTCTCATACTGATTATAGTAAAGGTTAATTACTTATTATTATTTTAATATCACATCTTTGTAAAGTTTATTGTTATTTTTTTTTAGGTTTCCTTTTCTTGATATGAGAAAGAAATACATGGTTCCAAAATATAGGAATTCAACAAGTGACCACCTGAATAACTTTTTATGCTAATGCATTTTTATTACAGATCTCAGGGAAGGAAAATATTAAAGAAAAATGCAATTTCGACAAAAGAAGTATAATAATCAATCCTGTCACTACTTCTACACTATATTCATCTTCTACTAAAATACTAAAACAGCAAGTAAGTAGAGAAACTTAAGTTTCTTTCAAAAAGAATGTTTAAGGAAAAAGGCATAGCTATTTTTTTGTTGACACTTTTTTTTAACTAATCTAAAAGACTAATTTTGTGTATTGTTTAAATGTTCATTTTTTGTACTTAATTTGTTTTAGGTTTAAACAAAATGAACTTCTAAGATATGCATGGAATGTCCCAAAAGAGCTAAGGAAGGTTTTAAAATTCTTAAGAAAAGTATTCAGAGGCAAAAACATAAAATAGTCTTCCTGTTCAAAATATAAATGGGTATAAATATTTAGATATTATGAGTGATTTTTTATTCTATAAATAGAACATAATTTGCTTCTAAATCACTACCTAATGAACTATATTATATAGTACAAAACTAAACAAGAATATCACATTATTCATGTTTTTTTTTTTAATTTCCTTAAAAAACGTCCCACAAAAATGTGAATATTTATTATTGGAGTTAACATCGTTATGCTAAAACAATACTAGAACAACTTAAATAATGTGGATTTTGACTATTTTGAGTTATGCAGATCATTATGATCTAAAATAATGTTTGTCTGGTGCTATAGTCAGGTATAAAAACATTCATTTATTTAAACACAGTTGCAATATACATTTTATTTAGTTTTAAGTTAAAACCTATTAGGACATCCTAAAATTACTTTTTTCGTTTGATGTGAGATTAATTATTCTACATTTTTGTTGGTGAAATAGGATATATTAAGATGTCTTACTGTTTTCTCTGATTATCTAAAAAGTTAGAACAATATACAAAGACTGTTATAACAAAAAAGAGATATACCTTCACTGAAACACACAATTAGTCAGTTCAATTGTACGATAATTTAAAGCAGAAATCCAGAAAAATGTGTTTAAATGTGTTTTTACTATAACAAGGACATAATTATTAAAAAAAACTTGGCACATTAACATTGACGATGGGTTTTAATAATATATATTATACAAATCACAACGAACTACACAAAATGACATTATTAATAATTTAGTAATAAAAAAGTTAAGTACAATGATGACATTAAAAGTTGAGTTTCTCGAAATACTTTTTTTAAATTGTCTCAGTAACTACCTAGTATTTTTCTAGCACAATGATATTATATGAATGTGCATTGTGTGATATCTTATATTTTAGGAATAAAATTATATATTTTTTTGCAGGTTTCTGTTAACAACGATTCCAAGAACTTTTGAAAATATTATTAAAACGGCATTTGCAAATATAATTCTCAATTAAGAGCTTTTGATCTAACATTAAATTTTTATTCTCCATAAGGTTATAGCTTCCTAAGAAGAAAGTTTATCAAGACTTACCAGACTCAAAATATCAAAATTTTACCAACCAATTGATGGTTCTACTGGTTTCCATAGGTAAATTCTCCTCGAAACTACTAAAAGAAAAGTGGCAGAGGCAACCGAAGAAGGCAAAAAAGTCTTTTGCAAAACAAAAACTAGAAATTTGTTTAAGAATCTATTGTTTGAAGTTTTACCATTAATAATTTTTGATAACGATTTAAGATTATAAAGTTCTATTATGAATTTTACTCTTTGATAACCTATGTTTAAATTTTTATTAGGACCAAAATAAATTATAATTTTCACTTCAACTACAAAAACCCTCATAATATTAAAAAGGGGAAAAACGTTAGATTAGTTATGTTCAGGAATAAACTCTTTAAACATTTATCTACTTAAAATGTGTTACTTTTAGAAGGTATGTTATTAACTTTCTATTTGTACTTGTATTAATTTATTTCATTTTATTATCTGTTGTATTTTCAAATTGATTTTGATATTAATCTTATCTATTTATATATTTTTTATACTGACATATATGTTTTTTTCATTAAAACAAACGTTTATTAGCTTATTAAATATAATAAATTCATGTTGTTTTATTATACTTTTATTTCCTTTTAAAAATGAATTTCGAAGATAAAGCCGAAACGGTGAGTGAGAATAAAAATTAGACGAAAGTGACGATATTTACTGGAGCTTTCATCTACACGCTCCTTTTTCTAGCCATCTACACCTGAGCCAGCAAGATTCGTCTTCCCTCCATCCTTAAATTCTCCAGATTTACAGAGAAACGCTGTCCTCTAACATATCCAGACCTTCTTTGATGGGGACTATACCACTACATTATCAGCTTTATTTGTTATCCCGAGCAATTTAAATGCATTCGTAATTGCTCATTCTCACCTCTTCTCTTGTAGATTCCGTACTCAGTTTTCTTATTTTTAGTTACGTTTGCACTGCTTTTATTTTCACAGCTTTAATTCTATAATGCTGTAACGCTACAATATGGATCCATTTATGTGGTTTATACTATTTAATGTTATTCGTAAGTGACCAACCTATTATAATAATTAAAGATTATTGTATTACAGGCCTGAAGATGTTCCTGTAAGGCCGAAACTAGTCGCTCCTGTATTTATAATAAAATTTATTTTAAGGTTTTATTCTTCAATTGAAAAAATTAGACCTTTACAGTGATTTTGTTTCTTTTTCTGCATTAGACATATATATGACGGTATTCATTTTAAAAATAGTAAAATTAGCAAATTTTTTAGTTTTTTTTTACAATTAAAACGTTTGGACAATGTGTGTTTTTATAGATAAATGATACGCCACTGAACAAGAAGGATGTTTACCTTCCCCCTTGTGCCCGCTTCCTCACTTCCTCTACAGATGTTGCTAACACAACAATCGCCTACAAACTCGTTTTCACGCTCCCTCTATTAGTAATTGCTCGGAGGTAAAAACCATACATTGAAACTGATGGACTGGTGTTGCATCGATTGCATCAACGTTGGATAAAAAGACAGCGCTGTTAGTTCATCATTGATAGATTAATGAAAAAAAAGACAGGTAGATACCGCACCGATGCCAACGTTGCTGCAACAGTTGGATAAAAAGACACACGTTTATCTATTATTCATTTGTTTATCTGAGGTGTTTGTAGTTACCTATGATATAATCTTGAAGAAGCATTTTCAACAGGTCTTTTACACATAGAGCATGTTTTCACCATATTATTACAGATAATAAATCTTAAATATACATTTAAAACCCTTACACGGCTATAGGGACCGTGCGTGAAATATAGAGGCAGCACTACTGCCGAACTTAGCCCTCTCTAGTGTTTAATTTTAGAATTAAATGGGGTAAACATTGCAAGTAAATAATAAAGGGTATTTTTTTAACTATTAAATATAGTTAAAAATAGATACCGGCCCGTACCAAACAATCGTGTACATGGTCAAAATGACGTAAAATGTGAAACATTATTAAAATCTGGACATGCATATACATTTTAAGCAAAAAGATTTAAATGGCTAAGTGACAATAAATTTTAAAGTTGTACCTTAAACAAGTGTATCCAATGTTAAAATATCGGTATTTAGTAACACTGAATTTAAAAGTATTACAATAACATTTAAATAATGTAAATTAATAAAAAAGATTGATAATAATAATTATAAATCTTTTTAGCTTTATGTTAATCGAAATGTCATTCATCCACTGACGTTTATGAGATGTTCAATGATACATATTATAGATTGCTCACCCATCTATAAAAAAATTATGAAAAGCGGGTTGCAATGTGCCTTTCCTAGTGCTCACTAAATAGAGCCGTTCTAGCCCAAATGTGTTTTAAAATAAAATTTCAGCATTTTATTTTAGATATATAAAATAATTAAAGTTTTACTTCAAGACATGTCATTATGTATTTGGAAAGTTGAGTTTTCATGTAGTTAAATAATATTAAGAGATCTAAACAATTTTTATAACAGATAGATATAAATAATTTTAGACTACTATTTCAGAAACAATTCTACATAAAATACATAATTGCAATATGTAATACAATTTTGAAAAGGTAATGTAAACAATTTTGATATGAGGTATAACAACTTTGGGACACTTATCTATTATTCTGAATAATGTTTAATGGTAATGTCACTAAAAAAATTTACAAAAATCACTGGATTTTTAATATTTTAAAGTTTGTTACAATCTCTTTTGACAGTAATTGCAATGTATTATTTATGATGTTTATTTTAATA